CGGCCATGGGCAAGGACAAGCAGCCCCGCGGCCAGCGCAGGCAGGGGGGGCCGGCCGCGGACGCCGCCGGACCCGACGACATGGGGCCGAAGACGGGCAAAAGGGCCCCCAAGGAGTGCGGGGAGGAGGAGGCCCGGACGTGCTGCGGCTGCCGGTTCCCGCTGCTGCTCGCGCTGCTGCAGCTGGCCCTGGGCATCGCCGTGACCGTGCTGGGCTTTCTCATGGCGAGCATCAGCTCCTCCCTGCTAGTCAGAGACACTCCATTTTGGGCTGGGATCATTGTAAGCATCAAGTCTGTTTTGCCTAAGCGCGTTTGCCAAACAGGAATGCACAGCAGCATGGTCGAGTCCAGACTAACCCAACTGCATGCGCCCTTCCCCAGCTCCACTCCTCTAACTCGCGCTCTGCTTGGTGACTGGTGCCTGCCACACTCGGTGTGCCTGGGGGCAAGGCTGGGCGCGGTGAGACTCGTGCCCCTCTTCCGCTTGTTGCTCCGACGGGCCTGCCTTTGACGTTCTGGAGCTGGCGAGGCGAGTCAGAGGCTGCTTATTTTGGTTAAGTTGGACATTCTTGATAACAACAGCAGATTCACTTCGGCTTTGTCCTCATCCTGGTCCCCCGGACCCCACCCTTGTCTCTAGATAAGTAACAGAAAGCGAAGTAAGTTCATCTCGTAAAAGCAGGTTTGGAGAAAGCCTGCGTTTGGGGTTGCCACGTTGGGTCGTATTGATTTTATTACTTTTATATTTTTACATTTGAGATTTCATGAGTAGTAAGTTTTATAAAGAAATGTCTTAAGGCAGGATCTGTGAATACAGCAAGCACAGCCTCACTCTACTGGAGTCTAAATAGGATAAACCCAGGGGTTGGCTGCCGCAGAAGTATCTTTGGGACTCTGCTAACGGATGTACTGTTCTAAGCAGAACACTGGTCAGCTGTTGTGACTGAGTGTTGGAACGCACAGCATACTTGGCTTAATTAAATGGATTCTTTGATGTGAAATGGGTGCCATTTACTGAGCACCTAGGGTTGCCTGTCCTGCAAGGGGCCTTCCGTACTTTATTTGTAATCCCCACGTCATCCTTCCGAGACACTTACTATCATTTCATTTCTCAGATGAGAAAACCGAGGGCAGACTCACCCGGAGTCATGAGTTGGCAAATCAGCCAAGTTGATTCCTTCTTGCACCAGACCACACCTGCATTTTCCTCAGTGAGCCACGCTGCCACATTTAGTTTGTGATTTTAATATTGTTAGAGTGCCTTGAGGCTTACTCAGATCTTTCACGTGCAGTCTTTTCTTTCATCCGTGAAACAACACTTTGAGGTGGGAACTGTTACCCTTCTTTGGACAGGAGGAAGCAGGCTAAGAGAAGCGAAGTGACAATCTCTAGGCCCAGAGATTAAAAGTGGCACAGCCAGGCGACACTAGAATGGATACTTCTGGCTCCTAGTTTCATACTGCGTCATGACTGCTATTACTGACCACAGGAACTAGAACTCATAAAACCACCCTCAAAATAATTTTGTATCAGGGACAGGGACAGATGTTAAAAACACCTAATAAATATGCATCGATGCAGGTATTTCCTAATTAAGATTATTTGAACTCACAAATTCTTGCCGAGTAATTTAAAACTTCTAATTTGTGTACTACAAATTCCCATGAAATTATCATGATTGGAGTTTTCTAAATCAAGTAATTTTAAAAATAGCTTTTCACTAAGATATACTGGGTATTTTAGTCACCTAAGTGACTGTCAACCAACTCAGGGGGAAAAGTCTGTCCTTTAAGGCTAGGCGAATTAAAAGAAAGAAGGAATGAGGCTCCTTCATTCAGTGGTTTTGATGTCATTTGTAAGTGTGTTTTCTATTCTTTCTCTATTTCAACTTTAAAAAGCTCAGCACTAAAAAACCAAATTAGACGCGAAAAAAGCATCCCGATGTTTAAGGCACGGCCATGCGAATCGTGCAATTCTGAAGTTTCATGGGCTCCTATTAGAAGCATCACATGCTCCTAATTGCCTTGGAAGCTCCCTGGGTGTGATACAAAGAACATTGTATATGGCCAGGTCTCTGTTCTTTCTAGTTTTCCGGTTTATAATCTAGGATCCATTTGAAGTTTGCTCGTAGTGTGTAGGCCTGATGATACCTGTAATCTTAGGCTTTCTTTCAACAGAGAATCTATAGAGAAAAAAGCAGTCAGTGGAGATGCCCTGAGACAAGTTGAGGAGGGTCTCCTGGAGTTAGGCGAGGAGAAACTCTCATCCCGGCTGGGCCAGAGTCCCGGGCTCCCACAGACACTGTGCTTATGAGCCTCATCTCCCTGTGTGTGGCTGGTCACGGGCACTCGTCCAGACTTTCAGGGAAGGGAAAAGACAGGGAGGCAAAAGTGTAAACACTGCTCCTGGTACTGAGCCCCAACTTGGCCATTATTTGCTAAATAACTTGGGGCAAGTTATTTGATCTCTCTAGGCTTCCATTTCTTCATTGAAATCAGAATGGTAACAATAATTCCTACCTCTTAGGGTTGTCGTGAGAATTAAATAAATGAATACAAGTCCTAATACTTAGAGCAGTGCTGGCTAGTGGTAAGCATTCAGGAGTGAATTAGCTCTTTTTATTAACAATCAGAGAAGCAATCACTGGTAGTGGGAATCACTTTTCAAATTAGAAGTGGCTCTATTTTATCTCCAGTCTTGTGGAACAGTTATTTTAGACTTGCTACATTTCCTAGACCAGTTGAACCCTGAAGGAGATGTCAATTTGATTCTCAAAATTTCTCTGTTCATAGCCAAGTTACTGTGAGCAATCTTATGGTATTAGATTAGTCAGTACTTTCTAGATCTCTCTGGAGGTTTATAACAATTAACTTGGAGGAAAAAGACCTCCTCAGGGTCATTTTCCCTAGGGATATGGAGTGATTATGGTCTGGGATATCCTCCAGGAAATACTGAAACATTTGCACACTTTAGGATATCTGCTAGACCAAAGCAATACAGGTCAATCCCTGGGGCTGAGGCAAAGTCAAACCCACTTCTAATAATTTAGGCTGCATTCAAGCAGGGCACCCAGACTGTACACCCACCCCATCAACAGCTTTAATGCTTCACTCTTCTGTTTCTCTTTATACTGGTTGCGTCTCCTCTTACCATATAGTACTTACTTCATTTTACAAAGGTTACTATCGTATTACTTTAGGATTTGGCGACTGCCATTCTCATCGTAGAATCTGGGTAGGTAAGTGAATCCACTCAGGTGACTTCTCATTGACCGATGTCTGGGTAACTTGATGAATATTCAGTGAACTTCTGGTTATAAACTGAAGTCTGTCGATCTATGATCAGAGATTTATGTCCAGTGGAATTTTGGGAAAACAAATAGGTCATTTCTTACCTACCCATAAATGTGACTTTCCTCATCCTCCATCAGAGAGATGACTGAAGTCTTTTTACTTCAGTTACAAAAGATTCCTGTAAAGGAAAAAAATGGAATGGAGCCACTATTGAGACTATGTAACCTGTAAAAGTGCCATTCTTCTCTCAAAATTCTTTATAAATGGTTGGAGGGTTGTAAGTCACACCACAATGACAATACAAAGTGAAACAGGGTCTTTGAGGATGAACTTGGCTAGAGGCAGGGAATCCTAGGAAATAAAAGTTTGCTCTGCATTTTATTCTACTAATGGCTTGAGTAGTTGGGTCAAATAGGCATTCAGGTGTGTTCATCATTCCAGAATCCTTATTGATTAAAAAAAAAAAACACATATGCATTGAAGGGATCTAAGAACTTTGAGGCCTTTACTTAAAGTCTTACTCAAATGAACATAATTTGGCTTCAGTGAAGTGTAACATGTTTGAACTTTGGCTTATTTTTCTTCATTCAGTAACATTTGTTGGAGGTGTCTGCTGTGCTAGGCATTGGGCTAAAAATAATAAATCATATACCAGGAGGAGATCTCTAGAGATCCTGATGGACATGTGCCCTTATCACATCTGACAGTAATGAATACTTCCGATTAGAAAATTTAACCTACACAAATATTTTTAAAGCCCATTTACCTTTCAAAGTATTTCACTTATGGTGATTTATTTGCTTTGGCATCTCTACCCCGAAGTCAATTTAAGAGCAAACTCTTGCCTCTCATCCCCAATGGGGATGCATAGTATTTGTTAGTCTCTTGGCCCTGGTAGGGAATATTCCCAAGGAAAGTGGGAATTTGCATTATTGTGGTTTTTAGCTTTCCTCACACTTTCTCCATTGTACCCATACCACACTCAGAATAAAAACCCTGAGATATATACCACATTAATCACATTGGAAAGTTTAAGGAAAGAGCTTAAAATGGAAGGAAGAATATTTCTTTTCTTTAATGTCATTCATAAAACTCAGCGTATGAATCTGGAATGATTAAAAGTCCTGTCAAGAATTTCAATAGCAGTTTTCATATGTTAACTTACTCTAAGGAATTCAAAATGCAGGTGTATTCAGATTTTTAAAATCTATTTTTAACCCTTGCTTAATGGAATGAAAAATTAGGTGGTTATTTATTTTAAAACAGGATAGATCCTGAAATGTACAAGTAGGTATATGACATATAGCAAGTAAGGAACATATAATATTATCCGTAATTTATAAGTAGAAAAACTGAGACATGGTGATTTGGCTAAATGATTTGATCATGGTTATAGGAGAAACTGAAGGTGAGGAAGGTTTGGCATTTGAATTTTGGACAGACCCTGAAAAAAATCAAGAAACTAAAAATGGTGTCAGTTTTCCATTTAAGTATATTGACATTTGAGAAATTTAATCTGAAATTATGTTTTTAAGAAAACATTACATAATAATGCATTGTTTTTCACATTGGAACTTGCTATGCTTCCAAGATCTAATGTTGTACCTCTGGCACCACTGGGAAATAATTTTTATTATAGCAACTGTCATAGGATTGTTAGAAACTGAGGAATGATAATTACATGGCCTAACTCTGTTTCCACTGAGTGTATATAATAAATAATGGTAGGAAAATTATCTTATAGGTGTGTGAAGTTCTCCTAGTAAGTATGAAAAATGGAATACCACTGAATTAATTTGGCAAAAGAAATTAATTTAAATAAGTATATGAAAATAATGGAATATTTGAGAATTTGGTGACCTGTTTCCTGAAAGGATCTTAGAATAAAGAATAAGGAAGGTTAAGATTGGACAGAATTATTAGGAGAAATATATTTTCAAGTCTGCAAGTAGCCTCATACTAAGCCACACATGCGAAGGCCAAGGAG